TTAACTGAATCTTCAGGGACAGACTCCTTGGAATAGGTAGCTCTACATCTATTCCATATATGATAGCTGGAAATTGAGATAATGCAGTGATGTTTAGTTTTCCCTGTCATTCAAAGGAGATGAAATGCAGTCTGTATTGCTGCCCTTGGACATTTTACTGCCTGGCTTTGTTGACCTGGGTTTCTTTTAGATTGTCACTCTTGGTTATAAAATGGATTATGTTGCCTATTTTGGTCAGCCTCCTTGTACGGAAAGGCAAGTAAATGTGATGAAAATAAAACAACACCTTCCTCATTCCTGTCTTTTGGTCTTGATCAGACTGTGAGTGTCTTCTCCTTCTGTAGCTTCTTTTTACATCAGCATTTTTGTGATTCTGTGCATGGTTTGCACAACCGATTGAGACTGAATCCTGGAGATTGGCTTTTTTGGTTTTGCTAAAAAGAGGCCTACAATTTCCGCAAATATCTTGTCAGTGTCTGGGTTGACACTGAGATACATGCCTTTCTCTGTGTATGTGTGGTTCCTTGCTTACTGCTTTTTAGAAGAAGAAAAGGCTTTGGTTTAACCACAGGCTGATGATGTAGTTTCCAAGTTGCATCAGGCTCGAAAAAGCAAAGCGTTCTTTTAGATGCATCCATCAGTCTTTGCATATCTGAGAAGGAGGCCTGTGATGCACTGAAGACACTGCCTCTCTATCTGCACTGGCTAGGGATGCTGATGAAATCTGCCACAAAATCTGCTGCTACCTGGCTTTCCAGTATTTCAAAAGTGGCAGCAATCTTTGTAATGACGGAGTGTCTTGTCTCAACAGAATCTGTAGCCAGCCAGGCAGAAAAGAGTCATCACTGACAAAGTTTTTGTTGTGTTGTTATATGCATCAGGTTGGGTTCAACATAAAGTCATCCCTATGAAGGAGGGACCTCCAAAAGTCAAAGTTATCAACAACAATGCTTAGGTTTTGCAGATCCAGGGCAATCGTAGCTTCCTTGAATGCCACCTGGAATTCGGCCTTACTCTTTTCCTACCACTTTCCATCTTACCAAACATCATCATCATATTTTCAAGTGAGTCATGTCTTCTCATGATATGGCCAGACAGCTTCAGTTTAGTCATCTTGGCTTCCAGGAAAGGTTCAGGCATGATTTGCTCTGGGACCCATGTATTTGTCTTTTTAGCCATCCATGGTGTCTGCAGAACATTTCTCCAGCACCACATTTCAAAGGACTTGATTTTCTTCCTCTCAGCTTTCTTCACTGTCCAGATTGCACAACCACACAATCTTGGACAACCTTAACTTTAGTATTCAATGATGTATCTTTCACTTCAGGGTTTTGTCTTGTTCCTGCAAAACTGCTCTTCCAAGTCCTAGTCTTCTTCTGATTTCTTGACTGCATTTTCCATTCTGATTAATGATTGAGCCACAAATATTATGTGCTTTTAACTGTAAGCCACCTTGGGCTCTTGTGCAGAAAGCAGAAAGGTGGGCTATAAATGAAATAAATGCACATGTCCCTTTCCCTTTTCCTTATGCACACCAGCATCAGATTAGTAATTTTGGCATCTGCTTAAATCTCTGATGTTGAAATTAATGGTGATTAAAAGTGCCTAAATTGGAGGTTTGATAAGTCTGCCAGGATTATAATTTTGAAGTATGCTAATAATTCCAGGATCAGTAACACCATCCTTTCTTCCTTTTCTTTTTTTGCAGAAACAGAATGATGGGGCTTTTAACATTCAAACCTGAAGATGCTTCTAGCTGATCTGAAGAAGAGCACTGAGTATTCATGGGCTTATTCAGAGAAGTTTGGAATTACCTTCTGTCTTCATAAGACATTGGCTTTAAAATAAATACCAGACAGCAAGTGACTTATCAGGATGCTGTTCTTTCTTCTGCCTCTTATTTTCCAGTTCCCAGGTAAGGTGAAACATTTTGTTTTGTTACTCTCTTCACTCATGGAAGACCAGAAATGTTGCAGCCTGTGTCTGTTGCAATGGATTTGTTCCCATCATCTAGTGCTGTATTCCTCCCAAAGTTAGTGCCCTCTAGTTCGGGGATTTGGAAAGTTATTTTGAGACTACATAATAGTCTAGACTGGATATTCACTATCCATGGTACCTGGGGAAATTTGTCAAATGAAGGTATTTTTTCCCAAGGTCTAGTACAGATGTGTTTTTTAAAGAGGTAGTGCCTCTGAAGAGGTGGATTGATAGCCATGAAATCTCAAATGACAATAGATCGATCAATTAGTTTCAAAGGTGCTGTTTGATTCCATCTTTCCTCCTGTTTCCCATTTTATCCAGATGTTTTGGTGTACAACTCCCATCAGCCCCAGTGAGCATGGCCATTGCCTTTTCTAGCTGCAGAGGATGGGACATGTAGTTCTGTGGAGGATGGGGCATGTAATCAAGCATATGGAGGTCCCCGACTTGGGCAGGATGCAGTAATGGTAGGCAACATGGCACCCTCCATATGTTGTCCCTTAATTCCCATCAGCCCATCCAAAGTGGGCTGATGGAACCTGTAGTTCAATGTCATTTGGAAAACAATTGGGGTCTAAATCTCATTATTAATCCCTGATTAGATTAGATCCATTCAATGGATGGGGATGTGGTAAAGTGGTTCTACTCCTGCCCTGAAGGGACTAGATCCTGTCTAATCTTGGAAGGTAAGAAGGCTTGGTTAGTATTTGCATGGAAGACCTCCAATGAATAGCAGATGCTGCAGGCTATATTTCAGGAGAAGGAACTGGCAAAAACCACCACAAAATATTCCTGGCCTAAGAAAACCCTATGAAATTCATGGGGCCACCATAGGTCAATAGGCGATTTGAAGGCACAGGCACAGACAATCCAGCCAGGACTATCCTTTGCATTTAGGCTGAAGTCTCCCATCCCTGCATTGCAGCTTCCTCCTAGGGATGGTGTCTGCATTTCTAATTTGCAGTATTAAAAAGAACTCCCTGAAGTACTACTTAATTTTAATTGCATAACTAACGGTGCATTTACACTGCAGAAAGAATGCAGTTTGACACCACTTTAATTGCAGTGGCTGCAACCTACAGAATCCTGGGATTTGTAGTTTTGGGAGGCACCAGCACTCTTTGCCTTATAAAAACAACCAAATCCCAGGATTCCATAGGATGGAGCTACAGCACTTAATGTGGTGCCCAACTGCATCATTTATACATTGTCAATGCACCTTAAGCCATTTCATCTTTCCTAAATAACAGAAGATCTGTTTTAATAATGTACTTTAGTCTGTGGAAAGACTTCTGCAGGGTAGGGCTTTCTCTCAAGTCCCTCATTGTGTTTTATTTTGGGCACGTTACGATGCAGGCATTCGTGGGAACGACACGAATAAAGAAGACTTCCGGTTCTGTGCAGACCGAAAGCAAACCGAAAAGGGTCACGTCCATTATGAAATGCAGAAGAACATCAGTATTGTCAACCGGGTGGATGGACTGGATATCAGTGCTCCGTTTCCTCCAGACCACCCGAGCGGATCCAAAACGTGCGCTCTGCCAAAACGTTTGGGGAGTTATCGCTTTTGTGCCTACTGGTTTCAGGATGCTCGCCTTTTCATCCTTAGCTATGGGGGTACGAACTACACTCTGAGTACGCAGGCGAATTATCCCCTCTACTCGCCCAACATCACTGGGACACCTAAGGAGAGCAATGGTCACCGCCTTCACAATGTCTCCTATGCCTTTAGCAAGGGCTCCCATAACACATCGCTTGCAAGCTCATCGGCCTACGACTTCACCTTCACAGGTAGGCTTGGTTGTTTGGCAAGAAAAAGGTGGTCTACGGGTCACCTGTGCCCACCCAAGGCCATTTTTGCGAGGTCTCACAGCCCCCAGCACCATCCAGAAACCTTCCAGGTCATCTCCTGATTTCTGCACCGATTCAAAACATGTTTTTTAATTAAAGCCTTTTTTGTGTGTCTTCACGTCATTTCTGACTTATGGTGGCGCTAAGGCAACCCTATCTCAAGGTTTTCTTGGCAAGATTTGTTCAGAGGAGGTTTGCCATTGCCTTCCCCTGAGGCTGAGAGAGTGTGAGTTGCCCAAGGTCACCCAGTGGGTTTCCATGACTGAATTGGGATTCAAACCCTGATCTCCAGAGTCATAGTCCAACACTCAAACCATTAAGAAACATTGCCTTCCATGGGAGTAGGATGTAGAAACCACCAAGAAGCCACCAAATCCAGCGGCTATGTTGGCTTCTGCATCCTGCTCCCATGGAAGTGTTGGGAGTTGTGATCCAAGTCTGGGAGTTGTGATCCAAAAATAATCCCCAGTCCTGCAGTGAGGTTGTCGTCTTTTGCTTTCTTTTTTGCTCTGCACCATAGATTCGGGGAAAGTTGGCCCAAATGATCTGGAAAAAGTATTAAAGCAAACAGAAGAAGCACTAAAGAAGTTAGAAGCTGCCATGAGGATTCCTGTTCAAGGCAGGACTGTCGTCCGTGGGAATCCTTTTGCGTGAGTATCTTGTGGGGGAAGTAAGAATATTTGCAAAGCTGGTTTGCAAGAAGAGGCCTTTAAAGAATGTTATTTATTTATCTATTTATTTATTCAAGTGTGTGTGATGCATGGACAACAGTAAGTTTGGAAGTTTTTAAACAGAGGCTGGGTGGTCATCTGTCCCAGGGAGGGCTTGGATTAGGTCTTCTTGCATGACACAATGGGGTTGGATTGGATGGACTTTGGGATCTCCTCCAACACTATGATTCTATACAAGCACTAACCTGTCC